ATAGAATACAAGGTGGTTCGAAACCACTAAAATTTATTTGGCTCGCATAGCTATCAAGTTGCTTAATGAATATGCAATTGCTATCTTATAATTTGTTTTAATTTAAACATTATATAAGAAAAAAATCTTTATTTGGGCTACATCAACGTTAGCAACTAATGAAATCAGCTGTTTTTCAAAAACGATTTTTGAGTACATATGTATGTATGTTATGTATGTATGTATGTATGTATGTATGCACAGAAATACAAATGTTTTTAGTTTTTGTATCATATTTTAAATAATAACAAATTTTTTATATTCTATTTGCAATACATATCGTTACCATAATTTAAAAAAGGTCTACGTGCCAAATTTCATCAATTAAGATTGAAAATTGTGTCCTGTACCATGCTCATAAGATACACATGGTAGATGACGGATATGGCTTAATGGAATCAGAAAATGCCGATGCCGATATCTTAAGATCGATGTAGGACCAAAAGTTTTCAGCGTTGTATACAACATAAAATTAAATGTTGAATACGACATTTTTACTTAAGGTATAGATAGTGATAGATAGATAGATAGATATATAGATAGATAGATAGATAGATCGATAGATAGATCGATAGATAGATATAATAGATAGATAGATAGCTCGTCGCTAGCTCCTCGATCGCTCGATCGATACTCGATAGATCGCTCGCTAGATAGATAGATCCTCGCTCGCTCGCTCGCTCGCTCGCTCTCGATCGCTCCTAGCTCGCTCGCTCGCTTCGCTCGCTGCTCGCTCGCTCGTCTCGCTCGCTCGCTCGCTCGCTCGCTCGCTCGCTCGCTCCTCTCGCTCGCTCTGCTCGCTCGCTCGCTCGCTCGCTCGCTCGCTCGCTCGCTCGCTCGCTCGCTCGCTCGCTCGCGCTCGCTCGCTCGCTCTCTCGCTCGCTCGCTCGCTCGCTCGCTCGCTCGCTCGCTCGCTCGCTCGCTGCTCGCTCGCTCGCTCGCTCGCTCGCTCGCTCGCTCGCTCGCTCGCTCGCTCGCTCGCTCGCTCGCTCGCTGCTCGCTCGCTCGCTCGCTCTCGCTCGCTCGCTCGCTCGCTCGCTCTCGCTCGCTCGCTCGCTCGCTCGCTCGCTCGCTCGCTCGCTCCTGCTCGCTCTCTCGCTCGCTCGCTCGCTCGCTCGCTCGCTCGCTCGCTCGCTCCTCGCTCGCTCGCTCGCTCGCTCGCTCGCTCGCTCGCTCGCTCGCTCGCTCGCTCGCCTCGCTCGCTCGCTCGCTCGCTCGGCTCGCTCGCTCCGCTCGCTCGCCTCGCTTCGCTCGCTCGCTCGCCTCGCTCGCTCGCTAGCTCGCTTCGCTCCTCGCTCCCTCGCTCGCTCGCTCGCTCGCTCGCTCGCTAGCTCGCTCGCTCGCTCGCTCTCCTCGCTCGCTCGCTCGCTCCTCGCTCGCTCCGCTCGCTCGCTCCTCGCTCGCTCGCTCCTCGCTCGCTCCTCGCTCGATCGCTAGCTCGCTCGCTCGCTCTCGCTCGCTCGCTCGCTCGCTCGCTCGCTCGCTCGCTCGCTCGTCGCTCGTGCTCGCTCGCTCTCTCTCGCTCGCTCGCTCGCTCGCTCGCTCGCTCGCTCGCTCTCTCGCTCGCTCGCTCGCTCGCTCGCTCTCTCGCTCTCTCGCTCGCTCGCTCGCTCGCTCGCTCGCTCGCTCGCTCGCTCGCTCGCTCGCTCGCTCGCTCGCTCGCTCTCTCGCTCGCTCGCTCGCTCGCTCGCTCGCTCGCTCGCTCGCTCGCTCGCTCGCTCGCTCGCTCGCTCGCTCGCTCGCTCGCTCGCTCGCTCGCTCCTCGCTCGCCCGCTCGCTCTCTCGTCTTGTCGTCCCTTCTCTTTCTTCCTTTCGCCGGCGGTCCCTTTGCCCCCCCCTCCTTCCTTCCTGCCCTCGTTTCCCCCCTTTCCGTCGCCCCCTGTCGCCTTTCCCCGCCCCACCCTCCTTCTCTCCCTTCCCCCCATTCCCCCCTCCTCCTGGCCTCTCTGCCCTTCTTCCCCTCGTTTGTGCGCTTTTCATCCCCCATACAACCCCTTCATTTTGAAAAATTTAAAAGAGCAACGTCTGTATGCCGAATATATTTTATACCATCCACTTTTATGATATATCAAAAATATGGTAGAAAATAGAGGTTATTGGAAAATTTTAACTCATATCTCAACCATTTATGGCACAGAATTCGATTATTTTTGTACATTACAAGTGATTTAATAAACAAAATAAACACATTACATATTTGTTTGCATGAAAAAAGAATTAAAAATTTTGTATACTGCTATTGTTTGCCCACCAATGTTTACACTTTTAGATACTGCCTATGAATTCGCCATGAAACTGCCTGAACTCAAATAACAACACAAAAATTATCTTTATTTATTATAGCTATATTTACTGGAAAAAATCTATACATATATGTAAATGTAGAGCAAAAGAAAAATTAAATTATAAAAACAACTAAGTAAAGACATGTTAGCAGTGACATGATTTACAAAAATTCTTAGATTCACTTTCATTTTTCTGATTTTTTTTGCAAGTATTGATTCGTCCGTCTTTAGCAAACAAGTTTTATTTGGGAATACATATGTATATAAAATAATTCAATTTGTTAAACATATTTTTCACTCACCTTTGTGTTTTGGTTCCAGCTGTGGATTTGCCATTTTATTTATCACTTTTTTATAAAAGCAATCTTATTTTCACACTTTATGCCGGTTGGTTTCTCTAGAGTCCAGAGAATGTTGCTGCTAAACTGAAATTATTTTCCTAGTGGGTCTGCTTTTTATAGCAATATTATTTATTCTTAATTCCTTTTTATAATATTTTAATTTTTAATATTTTCTTTTGTGCAAATTTTTATTTTCTTGTTTAATTTCCTTATCAGTTTTGTTTTTGCTTTATTTTTTCAGCCGGTTATTTGTTGTTATTTTTCTGTTTTATTGCTTTGTTTATCAGTGTTCGGGATAAAGAGCTTGCGAAAGCTTTAGTAATGTACATATTCATAAGTATAGGTTTGTGTCTAAGCAAAGTTAGTGTGTGTCTCATATAATATTATTTACGAAAGTATTTTCTAAATTAACCGTTACATTTTAAAATAATATTTAAAATTAGAAATTGTTATTCTTTATATTATAGAAAAATTAACTCTTTAGTACACTTAAAACATATTATAATTTTTTGCTAGACTATAGACTAGACTATAGACTAGACTATATACTAGACTATAGACTAGACTATAGACTAGACTATAGACTAGACTATAGACTAGACTATAGACTAGACTATAGACTAGACTATAGACTAGGCTGTAGACTAGACTATAGACTAGACTATAGACTAGACTATAGACTAGACTATAGACTAGACTATAGACTAGACTATAGACTAGACTAGACTAGACTAGACTAGACTATAGACTAGACTATAGACTAGACTATAGACTAGACTATAGACTAGACTATAGACTAGACTATAGACTAGACTATAGACTAGACTAGACTACTATAGACTAGACTATAGACTAGACTATAGACTAACTAGACTATAGACTAGACTAGACTATATACTATAGACTAGACTATAGACTATACTATAGACTAAACTATAGCTAGACTATAGACTAGACTATAGACTAGACTATAGACTAGACTATAGACTAGACTATAGACTAGACTATAGACTAGACTATAGACTAGACTAGACTATAGACTAGACTAGACTATAGACTAGACTATAGACTAGAACTATAGACTAGACTATAGACTAGACCTATAGACTAAACTATAGACTAGACTATAGACTAGACTATAGACTAGACTATAGACTAGACTATAGACTAGACTATAGACTAGACTATGAGACTAGACTATAGACTAGACTATAGACTAGACTATAGACTAGACTATAGACTAGACTAGTAGACTAGACTATAGACTAGACTATAGACTAGACTACAGACTAGACTATAGACTAGACTATAGACTAGACTATAGACTAGACTATAGACTAGACTATAGACTAGACTATAGACTAGACTATAGACTAGACTATAGACTAGACTATAGACTAGACTATAGACTAGACTATAGACTAGACTATAGACTAGACTATAGACGAGACTATAGACTAGACTATAGACTAGACTATAGACTAGCTACTAGACTATAGACTAGACTATAGACTAGACTATAGACTAGACTATAGACTAGACTATAGACTAGACTATAGACTAGACTATAGACTAGACTAAGACTAGACTATAGACTAGACTATAGACTAGACTATAGACTAGACTATAGACTAGACTATAGACTAGACTATAGACTAGACTTAGACTAGACTATAGACTAGACTATAGACTAGACTATAGACTAGACTATAGACTAGACTATAGACTAGACTATAGACTAGACTATAGACTAGACTATAGACTAGACTATAGACTAGACTATAGACTAGACTATAGACTAGACTATAGACTAGACTATAGACTAGACTATAGACTAGACTATATAGACTAGACTATAGACTAGACTATAGACTAGATTATAGTAGACAGTTTGTAAGTTCGAAATGTACCAAAAATGTCCCGGGGATTTCACGGTATTTTTCGATATAAAAAAGTACTAGTGCACTAATTGTCCATGGCATAATAACGGACATTTTAAAAATGTTTACTCAAAATTATATTATTTTAATAAAACCGTAAAATAAATTAAGTATGTATTCGTATTATTAAAGTCTTTATAATCTTTGTTAAATAAAATCTCTGTAGTATGCAGCATTTTCCTTATAAATCGGAATTTGTTATATAACGATTACCCTCCGAGTGTATACCACTATAGGTTTGTTCAGATGGGAAGAAGCTAAGAAAAAAGTTTATATATTTTTAACAATAAATAGTTATACATATTATAAAACTCCTTACCACAAAGCACTGCACAATTGTTGTTTCTAATAGTTTGAGAATTCTGTTGTCGTTCTAGTTGAATTGGCTGTTAGAAAACTTTTTAATTTCGACCACAAATCTTTGGGAGTTGATGTCAAAAGTTGTTGTTGGTGTTGTTTTTGTTTTGTAAAGACTGGTGTCGATGTTGCTCTTGTAGTTGATTAGTTTGTGCAGAAGTTTTTAAATGCACAGCAGTATCCAAAGAAAAATGATCAAGAAATTTTAAATTTGGCAATGAATGCAGTAGAACGGTTCTTAAAGAAAGTGAAATTGTAAATATTGTTTTACTTTTTATTAAAATGTTCAATTATTTACCTATAATGATTATATTCATACGGCACAAATTCACAGAATGGCTGCAGTAATAAATTATCGGGACACATGGCATTGCCATGCAAACTTAAGTACTCCACATTGGGAAAAATACGCTGTAAAATGCTTGCTGTCGATTGCAAATCACTCAACTGTAACGATTTTTAATTGTGTCAATGTAATTTTTATTCAATTAATTTTATAACTTCAGATTCACCTCATTTTTGTTTAACATTAAAGTGTGTAAATTGGTCAATGGCCTCTGTAGTTTTTCAAAATGTGCCTCTCTCAAACGATTGTCATCCATGATTAGACATTTTAAATGGGGAAATTCATAGAGCCATGTTAGATTGTTAATACGATTATGACTTAAATCTAAATATTCAGTACAATGTGCATATGACGCAACAGTGGCAGAGTCAAGACATCTCAAATTACGATGCGATAGGTTTAACTGTAGTTTGTGTATGAATGTGATAAAAGCAAGTGGAAAGAAGAAAAAAAAAAAATTAAATGAAGTTAGAGTGCTTTTTTTGGAATTCATAAAACGAATCTTAAATACCCTTCAACAATTGCAATTTTATCTTCAATTAAGCAAATATCTTACTGGCAATTATGGGAAAAGTTTGCATCATCTTCATTTTGGTTTTTAAGAAATTTATTATTTTCTTAATTTCAAAAAATTTAAGAATATATGTATAAGTTTTGTCAGTATCTTAAATTAAATGCATTTCTTATTATATATTTTTCCCGAATTTGTAGACATTTTAAGATTTTGATTTATGATTACGAATGTCTGCGAAAGTGTGTGAACCTGGAAGTGCGATAAGAACTTTTATTTAAAACAGTTTTTTAAAATATATACATAAATATTTTTCCAACTATGTATATAGAACTAAAATTTTAATTAAAATTACCTATGTATGTACCAAAGTAGTACACTTTTCTAAATGATTGAGCAACGCAGAATCCGACTCTGATATTTGATCATAAAGTTATAACGAAGACACCTTACTCATCAACTTTGTCCAGTCATCTGAAAATTAAACCTGTCGTCTTTAAAATAATAATAAGGTTTAACTTCTGTAATACATTGGTCTCTTGATTTCGATTTTTTGTTGGGCTGTGTTTAAGTTCCTATTCTAAACAGTTATAAATATAAATATTTAAAGGTGTTGAGTTGACATTTCAAAATTATATTTTGCTTACAAGCTGAATACAAGAAGTAGTGACAGTTGAAAATGTGCTTATCAGCTCTGACAACTTATTGTAAACAAAGGGGCAGAACAGCTGTCATTTATTTTATTACATGATATATTTTTAAAAGCTTTTTTAATGTGTAATGAAATTGAAACACAGAATAACATTATGTTAATATTTTATCGCTTTTAATTTTATGATATAAACCACACATACACTTTCTCACTTTAAATGTTTGTTACCAATCAATCAGACTAACTAATAACACTTTCTAAGCAGTTGAAGGGTACTTTAAGAAAAGTCATTTTGTATTCATGAAAAAAAAGAACTCACCTGCTTTTTGTTTGCATCGTAGTAATTTTCATATAAATTATCCATTGTATTTAGTTATTTTTCTATAAACTACATAATATACATATGTAAAATATCAATTATTGAATTTATTATCTTTGTTCCGTTTCGAAATAACACAGATTTCACTTTTGTTCTAAAATAATAATGAGTGGAATAATGAATGTGTTTTGTTTATTTTCTTATGTTCTTCTCTAAAGAATCTTCACCATCGCACTGATACACTTTTCAGATAGATTACTTTTCAATTTACCAATGTGAAAAAGCTCTTTTTTGTTTTTATTGTGTTTACCTTTTTTAGAGACTTTTCTCTTTCTCTCAAGCACTCACTTAAGTGATATTATTTTGGTTAAGTAAAAAAGCTTTTTTATAAAGCATTTTGTCACTAGAGGGCTCCAAACTAGCTAATTATTGATCGTTACTGATGTATAAAAATCCAGTACTGACAACCTGTAAAAACGGTTTATTTTAAACCGTTTAGTCTATAGTCTATTCTATAATCTAGTCTATAATCTAGTCTACAGTTTAGTCTATAATCTAGTTTAGTCTATAGTCTAGTCTATAGTCTAGTCTATAGTTTAGTCTATAGTCTAGTCTATAGTCCAGTCTATAGTCTAGTCTATAGCCCAGTCTAGTCTAGTCTAGTCTATAGTCTAGTCTAGTCTAGTCTAGTCTAGTCTAGTCTAGTCTAGTCTAGTCTAGTCTAGTCTAGTCTAGTCTAGTCTAGTCTAGTCTAGTCTAGTCTAGTCTAGTCTAGTCTAGTCTAGTCTAGTCTAGTCTAGTCTAGTCTAGTCTAGTCTATAGCCCAGTCTATAGTCTAGTCTATAGTCTAGTCTAGTCTATAGTCTAGTCTATAGTCTAGTCTATAGTCTAGTCTATAGTCTAGTCTATAGTTTAGTCTATAGTCAAGTCTATAGTCTAGTCTATAGTCTAGTCTATAGTCTAGTCTATAGTCAAGTCTATAGTCTAGTCTATAGTCTAGTCTATAGTCTAGTCTATAGTCTAGTCTATAGTCTAGTCTATAGTCTAGTCTATAGTCTAGTCTATAGTCTAGTCTATAGTCTAGTCTATAGTCTAGTCTATAGTCTAGTCTATAGTCTAGTCTATAGTCTAGTCTATAGTCTAGTCTATAGTCTAGTCTATAGTCTAGTCTATAGTCTAGTCTATAGTCTAGTCTATAGTCTAGTCTATAGTCTAGTCTATAGTCTAGTCTATAGTCTAGTCTATAGTCTAGTCTATAGTCTAGTCTATAGTCTAGTCTATAGTCTAGTCTATAGTCTAGTCTATAGTCTAGTCTATAGTCTAGTCTATAGTCTAGTCTATAGTCTAGTCTATAGTCTAGTCTATAGTCTAGTCTATAGTCTAGTCTATAGTCTAGTCTAGTCTATAGTCTAGTCTATAGTCTAGTCTATAGTCTAGTCTATAGTCTAGTCTATAGTCTAGTCTATAGTCTAGTCTATAGTCTAGTCTATAGTCTAGTCTATAGTCTAGTCTATAGTCTAGTCTATAGTCTAGTCTATAGTCTAGTCTATAGTCTAGTCTATAGTCTAGTCTATAGTCTAGTCTATAGTCTAGTCTAGTCTATAGTCTAGTCTATAGTCTAGTCTATAGTCTAGTCTAGTCTATAGTCTAGTCTATAGTCTAGTCTATAGTCTAGTCTATAGTCTAGTCTATAGTCTAGTCTATAGTCTAGTCTATAGTCTAGTCTATAGTCTAGTCTATAGTCTAGTCTATAGTCTAGTCTATAGTCTAGTCTATAGTCTAGTCTATAGTCTAGTCTATAGTCTCGTCTATAGTCTAGTCTATAGTCTAGTCTATAGTCTAGTCTATGGTCTAGTCTATAGTCTAGTCTATAGTCTAGTCTATAGTCTAGTCTATAGTCTAGAGTATAGTCTAGTCTATAGTCTAGAGTATAGTCTAGTCTATAGTCTAGTCTATAGTCTAGTCTATAGTCTAGTCTATAGTCTAGTCTATAGTCTAGTCTATAGTCTAGTCTATAGTCTAGTCTATAGTGTAGTCTATAGTCTAGTCTATAGTCTAGTCTATAGTCTCTATAGTGTAGTCTATAGTCTAGTCTATAGTCTAGTCTATAGTCTAGTCTATAGTCTAGTCTATTAGTCTATAGTCTAGTCTATAGTCTAGTCTATAGTCTAGTCTATAGTCTAGTCTATAGTCTAGTCTATAGTCTAGTCTATAGTCTAGTCTATAGTCTAGTCTATAGTCTAGTCTATAGTCTAGTCTATAGTCTAGTCTATAGTCTAGTCTATAGTCTAGTCTATAGTCTAGTCTATAGTCTAGTCTATAGTCTAGTCTATAGTCTAGTCTATAGTCTAGTCTATAGTCTAGTCTATAGTCTAGTCTAAAGTCTAGTCTATAGTTAGTCTATAGTCTAGTATATAGTCTAGTCTATAGTAGTCTATAGTCTAGTCTATAGTCTAGTCTATAGTCTAGTCTATAGTCTAGTCTATAGTCTAGTCTATAGTCTAGTCTATAGTCTAGTCTATAGTCTAGTCTATAATCTAGTCTATAGTCTAGTCTATAGTCTAGTCTATAGTCTAGTCTATAGTCTAGTCTATAGTCTAGTCTATAGTCTAGTCTATAGTCTAGTCTATAGTCTAGTCTATAGTCTAGTCTATAGTCTAGTCTATAGTCTAGTCTATAGTCTAGTACTTAAAAATTTACAATAGCATTGACTTTTCCATTCCTGATTTGTTTCCTCTTTCTAAGCAATTTCAGTTTTAGTTATAATGTCATCGGTGCGTGGACGTGTTTGTTAAATTCTATAGTTAATTCCCAAATGAAATATTTAAAAAGTGCTTAAAATTTATATTTCTTTTAAATTTAAAAAGTAAGTTAAGTACCAATTTAATATCATTGACTTTTCCATTCCTGATTTGTTTCCTTTTTCTAAGCAATTTCATCGGTGCGTGGACGTGTTTGCTAAATTCTAAAAGTTTATTCGCAAATAAAATATGTAAAAAGTGCTTAAAATTTATATTTCTTTTAAATAAATGTATAATCATGAAGCGAAAAAATAATTTGAAAAGCATTTGTAATCGTGTTTAAAGTTAAACAAATTGCATGAAGATTTGCAATAAAGCCGACAGCGCAGTTTCGGTTTCCGTTGTGTTTCTCGTGCGTTATATTTATTGTGTATATTTATTTACTTTTGTTGTTATTCGAAGAAAAGGA